CTCTGGACTCCTGAACCTCAATGAATCGAAGCTATTCCACTCAGGCGATGTGGGCGTTCTGGTAGAACCCAACCTTGCCCATAGAATAATCGATTGGAAGCCTGTCAGCGGAATGGTGGTAATCCTCGACTGAAGCTACAACAGGCTAAAGCGATGACCTTGGTACAGGTGTATGCGTTCAATTTCGAGGGTGCATATGGGACCTTCCTTAAAGAAGTGCAGTGTGCTCTGTTCGAAGTGCCGAATACAGAGTCCCTCATATTGATGGGCGATTTTAATGCGCATGTCGGAGTAGACGCTGAATAGTGAAACGGCGTGATTTGACAAAACGGGCCTAACAACCTCAACAATAACGGCGTGAAGTTGTTGCTGTTTTGTGCAAACAACGGATTGTCCATTATGAACAGCTTCTTCGAGCATCAAAAAGTGCATAAGTACACCTGGTACCTGGAAGCTTGTGGACAGAAGTCGATGATCGATATCATCATCGTATCGTCTGACTTAAGGCTTTCAGTAACAAATGTTCACGTGAAGAGAGGCGCACATCCGATCATCACCTATCATCATCTTGTAGTTGACACGATGCGCTGTAAGAAATGGAGTACCATACGAAAATCTGGTGGCAGAAGCAACCGGAGAATCAAATGGAAAGCATTATCTTCGGTGGACACGAGAGCCAGATTTGCAAACAACATCGCACGGCGGTTTGAACAGATCCCGCCGATGACAACTGATGTTGAAACCGAGTGGCAGCTCTTTAAGAGTGGCATACCCGAGGCTACCGCCGAATGCTGCGGATATAAACGGGTTGGCCTGCCGCCTGGAAGTTAAAAAAAATCTTCCTTGTAGACACGAGAGGTACAACTGGCAGTTAAAGAGAAGAAAGCAGCGTTCAAGAAATGGCTTGGAAACAAAGCGCTTTCTACTCGCGTGCAATATGTCGAGGCACGCAAGGCGGCAGCCAAAGCAGTGGCGAAAGCCTAAGATGATCCCTGAGAGCCGTTCGGTGAGGTGCTGCAGTCGAATTTCCACGCGTCAAACGAGGTATTCTGATACGCCATCCTCTGGCTCCGAGGTGAAAAGAAGGGCAGTCTCATAGTCTTGAATTACAGATGTGGACATCCTCTTACCAAGGATGATGACATTCTTCGGCGATGGAGGGAGTACTTTGTGGAGTTCCTTAACCCCGCGCAACCGTAGGATGACTTGCCTGTAGAGCAGAAAGGTACGGATATTATTATCTCTGTAGATGAAATTGCGCAAGCTGCTGGAATTGACTAAATCTGCCCTGAGATGCTCAGGGCATTATGCGAAGAAGGCATGTGCTGGCCTAACACGTGTCTGTCAAACTGCGATGACTGCGGGAAAGACACCAGCGGACTGGAGAACGGGAGTTATTGTCCCTTATTCAAGAAGGGAGACCACAAAGAATGTTCTAATTACAAGGGCATAACGTTATTGAGCCTCCCAGGTAAAGTCTACGCAAAGGTGTTAGAAAGGAGGCGCCGTGAAATAGTTGACGTCAAGATGCAAGAAGAGCCGTGTGACTTCCGGCCCGGTCGTAGCACCAGTGACAATATATTTGCCCTGCGCCAGATTGTGAGAAATGGTGGGAGTACGTCCATCTGGTGTACATGAGTTTAGTGGATCTAGAAAAAGTCTATGACCAAATCCAATGCAACAGTCTGTGAACATGCCTTCTTGCATAGGGGATAGATGGCAAGCTAATAAGGCCATCCAATCACCGTATTCTGATGGCACGTGCTGCGTCAGAGTCAATGGCGCTAAATTGAAACCATTCAGCGTTCGCACTGTTCTCCGCCAAGGCTGCGTCCTGTCTCCTATCCTATTTGTGTTGTACATGGATAGAATAGTCAGGAGCTGCCACGACGGTGAGGATATCGGTGTAGGAGATGTGAAGTCGAGAAGGTTGCTGTTTTCAGATGACCTTGTTTTATTAGCATCTTCTGAAGCTGATCTTCAGTGCTCCTTAGAAAGGTTCGCAGCCGAATGCGACGTGACCGGCATGCGTATGAACGCATCTAAAACGAAAAGCCTAGTGCTTTCTCGTTCTCCTGCCC